CACATGGCGGGGCGGCACCATTTCCCCCCCCCCCCCCAAAGCATGCACGCTGCTCCCCAAATCGCGCACTTGCAGCACTGGTGCAACCCTCCTGAGAGTGCATGCTGCACCCCACGCACGCACTGGCAGCACCATTGCAACCCCTCCAAGGATGCACGCTGCTCCCCAAATCACGCACTTGCAGTGCTGGTGCAACTCCCAAGGATGCAGGCTACTCTCTGATGTACACACTTACAGTACCAGTGCAACCCTCCAAGGATGCATGCTGCTCCCCAATCTGCACACTTGCCGTACTGGTGCAACCCCCAAGGATGCATGTTGCTCCCAGGTGTGTGCTTATGCTCACAGCACCAGTGCAACCCCCCAAGGATGCACGCTGCTCGGCAAAACGCACACTTGCAGTACTGGTGCAACTCCCAAGGATGCACACTGCTCCCCAACATGTGCACTTGCAGTATTGGTGCAACCTGCAAGAATGCACGTTGCTCCCAGATGTGTGCTTGTGCTCACAGCACCAGTGCAACCCCCCAAGGATGCAGGTTGCTCCGCGATGTGCATACTTGCAGTACTGATACAACCCCTCAAGGATGCATGTTGCTCCCCAATGCATGCACTTGCACAAGGATGCAGGCTGCTAACTTGCAGGATTGCACTTGCAGCACTGGTGCAACCCCTGCAAGCAAGGGGCACCCTCCCCAGCGAGCCCCCTCGCTGCAACGTGCCCCGCAGCGGGATATGTGGCCGTGGCCACCGCCTCCGTTGCCCACCCACGTTTAGTGGCCACGGCGCAGGGTGGATTTGCTGGCAGCTACTCCCACGCCAGGATAACGCCCGGTGCGTGCGCGCCGCGGGCCGGCTCGCGCATGGAGCTGCCATCGATCCCGGCGCCACGGAGCAGCTTTTTTAATTATGCCGTGACACAGGCAATCGAACAGAGGCTGAATGGGCACTCCTGGCCCTTCTGCTAATTAGCTGGGGGGATTAATCACCCGCGTGGAGGGAGATGGCACGAGATAACTCGCTGCAGCGCGTCCCTGGGGTGGCTGCTGTGAGATGGTGCTTGCTCCGGGATTGTCTTTCTCTGCACAAGCCTCCTGCCGTAGCAACCAGGGGAGGGAGCAGCGCATCCCGGCACGCATCCCGGTCCCGAATCCCCACCCTGGCATTGCCAAGGGTCTGGGCATTCCCAGCAATGGGATTCCTGGCTTGGGGAGCATCCTCTGTAGCCCGGTGTGCACAGGCTGCGTGCATTGCCCCACGGCTCCATGCAGCCCCTTGCTGCAGCGGTGCATTGCCCAGGAGGGGCACTGGGAAGGACTGGGAAGTGACACCGGAGCGAGCCGGATCCTGCGGTGCTGGAGCCGGTGCTGGGGGCGAGCCCGCCCGGTGTGGGGCTTTGCAGGGACCTGCGCCGCGCGCGCCGGGCTGCGTCACCGCTGCGGAGCGAGCAGCGCGCGGAGGCTGCTCCGAGGCTGCTGGAGAGCTCGCAGCTGCCAAAGCGGGCAGGAATCTTCCCGTCCTCCCTGCAGCGCGTGCGGCTGCGGCGAGCAGCGCGGGGAC